CTCAAGTCGGTCATTAGGCGAGTGACATCATTGATCCTTCCTTTGGCTGCTAATTCTGAACGATTACGTAATTGTAGTAAAATATCTTCCTTTTGGTTTATTCATTTTACATTTATTCGCGAAATAAACAGTACGCCAATCAGAATCAACCATGTCTTATAAGATATTTGTGGTAAATAATAGTATGTTACACAATATCTTGTACTTATTTGATTCAATTTGTTTATATCTTAATTTGTTATTATCAGTTGATATACAAACTAAAAACGACTTTTGATTAACCGGATTTAATTTATTTTTGTAATCACACTGACGCTATCCATCTTCGATAGCTCTATAGGATCCTAATCTAACAACCGGTCGTTTGCTGGCGGCATGCATTTGTAGAAAGCACCTCTATTAGCAACTAGATTCAGGGAAATGTTTTGCAAAGTGTCACTTGCTAATTTATAGCCGGAGAACCGGTGATTACATATCTAAAAGATTGTAAAATAATACGTTTTACAACTAAATAAATGTGCATCTTTTATTTTAAAGTACAAGAAAAATGCACCTGCTATTTTCTTAACTTGCCGTTTAAATCATTATTGCTAACTTCTCTGTCAGCCTGTCTCGCAATTTCGCAATCACAAATCTACTTAGCAGTTACTTAAGTAGCTGTTGTTTCAGTATATAAATTTGAATTGTTGACTTGCGCGTACGCAGCTGCGCCGCAATGCTCGGTGAAAACTGTTGGAAGGTGCGTGGGCGCCGGTGGAAACAAATGGCCAGTCACGATCGATGCCCAAGCTCCTGGACTCAGTATAAATAGCCATCATATCCGGTCTTTCTTATACCTTATTTGTCCGCAATTCCTTATTCAAGAAGGCTCATTACTTTACCGCGTTCTTTGATAAAAAAATATGTAAGAATATTCAGGTGCACTATGATGTTTGTTTTTGTATTCTTGGGTAGGTTAGGTCTACGATGTATTGAAAGTCTTGACTAGGTCATAGAACAAAACAGTAGTTAACTATTATGAAACGCAACCTTGTAGGTACCTAAAAATAAATCTTTAGTTAGCCACGGCGTAGTTTAGCGACAATAGTCGGTGGTCCGCGTTCACTAACCCTCTGTTTATGCGCACGCGCACAAAGGTGCATTATCGAGGCAACAGGAACTTGCAAGTACGCCTCTAGCTTGGCCCAGGCTCACTCGATTATGATTTATGACCAGTTAATGCAAATCTATAGTTGGAAAGCACTGGCACTGCAATGCATACCGTCTCACAGCCGACTCAGTTTACGAATAGCTCGTGACGGCAATAAAGCTGTCACTGAATATTGAACTTGAGTATTGGAAAACGTCGAGAAAAATTAGTTCTCCCATGGATGTTAAACTTAGTCATTCAATTTATTTTATGTATTTTCAAGTTTTTCAACCATAAATCTTAAACTTCGTTGCGCATTTCTTGCATCGTGAATTCCTGATGCAGGCGTAAGGTGCACCGGCTCAGTGTCGGCGTGTGAGGTGCGCGCGCGCCTAGTTTGACGGGTTAATACCACGTCCCAGCGAACCCTCTCATTTAATTCAATTTTCTGGACTGCACACAAATTGCCTGCACGTCAATCAACTGTTTACCTGCCAGTTATGCCTAGGGAGAGGCACAAAAACAAACATAAAGCAAACATTCAGAATANTAGATACTCATTGTGCGAATAATATTTTGTACTAAGCAAGCAATAAGTATAAACTGTTTATTTATACATAAAACGTCAACTTCATGGCACATTGCTGTCGCGAGCAATGTGTTCTGCCCCCCTAGACAAAACGCACTTTTTGATCGAATCGAAAATCGAATCCGTCAAAACTCCATACAAAAAAGGGGCTTTTCGACCACTTTTCGACTGGTTTGCGATTATAATTTGCACTTTGTCTAGACCCACTGTTTGGCATATTGCTGCGTCACTGGCCAAGCCTCCTTTTTATTTCGTGAGATTCAAATATTACCTCAGACAGGAGCAAACTTGCAATGTTTAAAAGTCGTTATAAGTGCATAGATGCTATTCGAAGTTAACATCATTTGTTCCACCTGTTTTTTTTTCTTTTTACTCCCANATCAATAATGTTTTTCGATAAATCATTGAGGCCAATTTGAGCAATAGGGTATTCCACTCTGTTTGGCAAAGTACTATAATATGTTCTTTTCATCGTTAAAAGCCACCAAAAAAAATATTTCGGCGAAATAAACCCGCTTTCATGCCATAAAAATACTTCAAAATTTTGAATATATTTATTCCCGCGAAAACAGGCTTCTGCGCTGTCCGCCATGTTTATGACGTCATTTCGGCATGTAAACAAAACTTGACGTAGGTACATATTTTGTTTAGTTGTTGTAATTATGTTTAGTTTATAGTTTTCATCTACAAATATTTTCCTTTAGTATTTTCTTAATCTTGTAGTCATAATTTTGGTTAAGACAATGTTTGCTAATGTTAGTATTTTTTTTTAACAACAGTGTGGGAGCACCTGTATACCTACGTTATGATTGTAAACTATTATTTTATCTGTTAATGAACACCACTGATAGCAACTGATACTTTGTAAATTAATGAGTACTTGTCGTAATTTTAACTAACATTTAGGTATTTTAAGAGTAAAATAAAAGACTTGCTTATTATTTAAAGTACTTTTTTTTATTATATTTGTACAGTTTCATATAAAATGGGAAAAATATTTCTTTTCCAAAATGAAATAACACTGTGGAGCAGTTCTGACACATATATTTGATCATATGCAATCTCTTTAATATTCACTTTATTGTCATTTTCATGCTTTAAATATTGACAAGAAGTAATTTTTCTTTTTTTAGATTTAATTAAAAAATCTTCAACTACACTGTCACCTATATTAGTTTCAGCACTTTTTAGCTTCTTTTTTGTAATTTCTTTCGTTGTCATAATTTTTATTGAAGATCCGACCTTTGATAGTGTCGATTTTTTCCAATAACATTGGACTGAAGTGCATGATGGCTCTTCACTTCTACGATGACACCACATTAAAAACGCTGCTGCATGTTTACATCCACCGGCAGACGCAGGACAATCATGGCATGTCACCTGTTGTAGCACATCATCTTCTTGCTCATCTAAAATGAGAGTTGCAGAATATGGTTTGGAACGAACTTTATGTTCCGGACATATTGTACACTTTATAGTACATAAAGCTTGGGTCCTTTGTAGTTGCACGTATCCGATAGCATCGTCGCCATACGATTCTCTTGCAGATCTGTGGATAACCAAGTCTTAATTAACATTGGAAAACAAAACATAACCTATAACTTTCCGATATTTTTCTACAAATAAGGTATACCTATATAGCTGTTATTTCATTAAAAACAACATAATAAAGGTAATACTTACAAAGATGTTTTTATATTCCGGATTCGGCAGAACAGAAATCTGGATTACATGCAAAGAACTTTGCAACCATCATCGTGTCGATTTTTGGTAAGTTCGTACTATCTGCTTTTACGAAACCGGCTTCCATTTCGTGTTTTTAGTAGTATTTAACTTATTTCGTATGATTTCAATAAATATCAACTGAATAATTTTGACGAATAGAATGCAAATAGAAAATAAAAAGTTGTTGACAGATGACAGCGAATGATTATTGCCAATATGACGTCACAGCATGGCGGCTCGTGTTTTTAGTCACGTGATATACAGATTAAAAATATCAATTTTTAATTTTAACATAATAAATAAATCATGTATATTTACGACATAAAATCAGTATAACTATGTTTATTTCTACATAAAGTTCATTGTGTATTGATTTTCATATTTTTTTATTTACCACCCAGAGTAATAATTTTTTTNCAATTTTTAATTTTAACATTATAAATAAATCATGTATATTTACGACATAAAATCAGTATAACTATGTTTATTTCTACATAAAGTTCATTGTGTATTGATTTTCACATTTTTTTATTTACCACCCAGAGTACCCTATTTCCGCTTTTAAAATAATTACAGGCACTAACTTTGATGGCGAGATATGAACATGAACGCATGAAACTTAGAAATATTCTCATGTGATGAGAAACGCTGATGGTAATGTAGATAAAGGTTATGAATTATTAATATTGCTCATACATAATCATCGATTTGATTTACAAGCAATCTCTAGTTAGCAAATGCTGTTTGAAAGATACCTAATAATTTAATGGTTATTTCTGTCTTCATACAAGTTAATGACTATCTAATAATCTCATATTCTGTCTTCACAAAGTAAAGTTACGTATTAAAAGTGCACTAAGTAAATACATAGAAATTTACATTATAAAGGTGCCAACTAGAGGAGAAAAATGAAGATGGAATATTTCAGCAAAATTTTAGCAAAATAAAATGGTATCACAATTATCCATAATCAATTATTTATGTTTAGATCTCAAATACAAAATATATGATCTTACAATTAAAAAATCATTCTTTATAATATTAACTCTGTGGTTTAACCTATTAACCACAAATATCTACACTAACATCTTTGCCACAGAATATCACATTTAAGTTTATTAATTCTATTTTAATAGTTATTTTAAGTGACCCATTGGTCTCTACATTTTAAATATTTTGCAATATTAAAGCCTAACTACAAACAGGCCATTGTCAGTCAGCTATGTTGTTCACACGATTGTTTTATTATTGTCGTTGACTATAGTGCTCTTATCAGAATCTACTTCACTTCAAAGAAATTAATTAGCCATATCTATATCATGCGCTAGCGCTACAAGGTCGGGTTATCTAGGAAATTAATGGCTAACCGGGTTTAGAACTACAGCATCATATATTGGCATTAATCTCGCGCGTACTTCATAGGATTAAAAATCAATTGATCCGTCTTGTATGTTAATCTTAAGTGCTTACGTCAAGCACGTATTATAATAGATGACACGACTGAGAATTAGTTACAGTGCAGCTAAGGTTATCAAGGATAGTCATCGGCATGCTTACCGTGATGGTGTCATAGATGCCGTTTTGGTCGGAGCGTAGCGGCGCGGGCGCGGAGCCGGGCGGCGCGGGCAGCGGGGCGGCGTGCGCCCGCGCCGGCGGCGGCGACAGCGGCAGCGGGTCCCCATTGCGCGCCCATGTACGGTGGATCTGCCAGCTTGTGTCTGAGAACCTGGCTCTGTCCTGTGGACAAAATGATAGAAAATTCTAATAAGTCCAGTCACGAAATCGTAATAGTTAAGTTGTTTATCTCATTTCAACCTAATGACGTCAATTGCGTGCAACCTATCTAAATGATTGCCTATTATGTTATATAAATCATTTCAATCTTTTTATGGCCATGATTTTCTTTTTCAGCATCATTTGTGGAAGACTGGAAAATCTTAATGAATTTTGTTTTTCTTTAGGTAGCGTATAATCTTTCTGTGTAATGTAGAGTCTGATATTGATTCCACCAACCATTAGCATTCATATCACGCTAAAGGTTTCTCAGCTGGACTTCTTTGTAACACAGACCGCATTTAGGCAGGATATCAGCTATAACTAATCTAAAAAGGCTCCAGCCACGGCCACTGGGTAACCTAATGACATACTTGGGAGTTTCTAATTAGATAGACAAAAGCAGTTAGGAAAATATATGTTCACTCAACAATCCGTAATTGTTTCACTTACGTGGGCAGTGGGCACCTAATCTAATAAAATACATCGGAGCATTTATTAAATAACCTATCGTTAAATCAATTTATCGAACGTAGCTACGGAAAAACGCTGACACTTTAGAATTTATGTGGCGAACTTGTTGAGATACCATCCAGATAATTCGAGTGAAATTGAATAATGATTGGTTCGATAACTTGCCGGGGGCGAGAGAAATTTGGGCACCGACGAATTTATTTTCCTTAAAAACAGGCGTGTTTATGAATAAAGCGCTCAACTTAGGATATAAAGCAAGAGCTGAAGTTATCATCTCGAAAACCAGCTCATTGTGTTTTAATCCTGGATATGAGTCTACATAAATTACGGCAAAAAGGTTTATAAATAATGAGCGGTACTTTTGACCAGAAGGCGTTACAAGTACAGGTTATTTCAAAACCTCTGCTCTACAATGTGTGAAAATAGCACAGCAGGTAGATAAGATAATAAACATCCCACGTGGGTTTGCACATGCATGGACGTAAGTACACGGGTTTAGTTCGTATTGCGTTGTCTTAGAGGTCAATATGTGGGTACGAGTGTTCGCGGGATGCAGCGCGATCAGGGGCGCGCGTGGGCGCGTGCACTCAGCATTTCGTTACCACTTCTCAACACGTATCGCGCGATAAGCCAGCACGAGGAATTAATAAAGTTATCCACACCTTCGTGGATACCGTTCAGTCTTTAATGTCATCAGTTCAATTGACACGACTTCATGTCTCGTTTATTAAATTACATTACAAATCAATAACAAGATTGGCTGATTGTTTAATTATATCAATCGCTTTAATAACCTATCATAATCATTATCATCACTGTTCTATTCTGAGGCCTCTTGGCTGTATCAGTTAATTTATTTTCAATGTTTTTTCTTATTATCTTCTTTATTATATCATTATCTAACAATAAGATCATAATTTGCCGAGAAATAACGGTTAAGAGCACTTTCCACTAGATACTGGATTAGCGCGCGATACGCGAACATGGCAGAAACATTTATTTATGAGCCCAATAATGGATGGACGCAGATACAGGGGAGGATAAACTGGCGGGATAATTGATAAAAAGGCCGACTAGAATATAAACCGAGCTAATGCATCAGGTAATGCAAGTTACGATTAGGTTACTATCGTAAGAATAGCTACTTTACATTGCCAATATAACTAGGTACTGAGAATTTATCGAATTGCACAAAGACCGAATTGGCCACGTGCCACATCATTACAATTGTAAAAGCAGAATAAAAACGTTTAATCCGTAAACATTTCAATCAAATTGCAAGCAAGAGGGATTCCTCGCATTGCATTGCTAAATTCATTATTAATTCTTGAGGCTTGCTGTAGCATAAAAACCTTCTCAATGACACAATTTCAAGATCTCTATCTATTTTGATAATCTAATTGAATAGACAACGACCAAACTCCATATAAAGTTATCTAATAATAATCATAGTCAATAACAAATTTGTTAAGGCTATTTAGGTTTAGTGTTCAAACAACCGGATCCAATCCACGCTTAATTACTCTGATACAGTCTCATAAAATATGTATGCGGAGATTGCGATTCCAAAACGTGTGAATTGCCAATTAATTTAAAATATCTACGGGTTCTTAATGAACTTTGAATGCATATTTTATACCCATAGCACAATGCAGGCAATATAAACTTTTAATCAAGTCTAAGAACAACAATATTATAATGCGAGTCGGTGATTTAATTGACATCCAATGCCTCGTGAATTGAATGGATAAATAGGCCATTCACTGTACCCACTAATAATAAAGAGCAGTGTCAATATATCGTTTATGCGAACTTTTATCATTGTGCTTACTTAACATTGACAAGGTCTCGATTAAATGCTGATTAGTGCTAACTTTAAATAAACATATCTATAAGTAAATGACGACATTACTGAGGAAAATTATGTGTTGTTGTGTGGGTCATTAGGCTGGGTACGAGCTACGTTTCGGCCATGTCCCGGGCGTGCGCGGCCTCTAATCTGCACATTAGCATCTAGTAGGCCTTCAATTAGGCCTACACTACAGCAGGCCTTAGGGCTTAGACTGAATAAAATTTATTAAAAGATCATTATGTGAACTGTATCATCTGTTTCCTCTCTATATAATTTCTAATCAAATTAAGGCTGGGTTGCACCGTCTTACTGTAACTTTAACAAACGTCAAAAATATGTTAAACTCCATACAAAAAACACTGGTTATCGTTATAGTTGCCGTTAAAGTTAGGTGGTGCAACTCAGCCTTATAAAAAATATAGTCTGAAAAGTATACAACATATTGATTATAACAGAAAATACTCATGAAGGGCACGACCTTATGTGTTTTATTCCCAAAGACATAGATAGCGTTAAGTCGAACTCATTTGGATTAGAAAGACAGTTAGCACTTATGTTTGCGGAAGGCCTGCCCCACGTACAAGGGCCAAGGACAATCGTTCTGCGCGTTAGCCGCTGCCACGCGATTACAGCGGAGATAGCGACCGCTGTCTCTGCGGGCTTCTTTTATCCTTTTATGTCATCTTTAGTTGCCGCCTCTACTTCGCAAATAGTCGGACGGAGCCCCGTTTACACGTCCTAGAAACAACTCGCTAATTTGCTTGCACTTTCAACATCGTGCTATCGAGAATTTGCATGCGATCTCACTACATATTTTAGCTGCTACGAATGTTCGAGGATTTCGACGAGGCACAAGAAAATAAATGGTAAAATTATGAAAAAAGAAAGTAATGATGAACCCGATTCACAAATATGACTACATTTCTATAGTTACAGAAGTTGACAATCTCGGTGTCTCCTCCGATATCTCAACTGATACTTAGTAGTTTTTAGCACTTTCAACATCATGCTATCGAGAATTTCCATGCGATCTCACTGCATATTTTAGCTGCTACGAATGTTCGATGATTTGGACGAGGTACTATGTTAGACAGTTCAATAAAATAAATGCTAAAATTAAGAAAGAAGAAAATGTTAATGAACTAGATTCATAAATATATGACTCTACATTTCTATAGTTACAGAAGTTGACAATCTCGGTATCTCCTCCGATATTTCAACTGATAGTAGTTTTTTAAATCAGGTCATGAGACTTTAATCTATAATCAAGGTGTTGTCCTAATCGTCGAGTGTTGTTAGTTATTATTGGATACTAAAACATTTGTCAGCTAGATGTTTGGAATCAAACCTCATAAATCTTAACTTCTGTATTTATTCCTGTCTCAAGTACAAATTCAGATTGCAGGATATGATTGTTTAAAGAAATCCTACAAAAACAAGCACTTAAGACCCGAGTTTAGGTCTTACGTAACATTGTAGAGTCTATGAGAAAGTTGTCCTCGATACAATCTTTTAAAATGAGTAGACAATTAGACAAGGTTATTGAAACTTCCGACAGTTTTGTATTAAGTAATATTTTTTGTTATTTCTCTATTGCTTTTAGACATAGATACCTACCTGTTTCTGAAAGTCAACACCATTTTTAGTGGACTAGACATACAGTTTAACGTCTGAATGCGCCTTCAAGTTCAAATAAAAGGCACTATGTAGCTCCTACTCACTATTTGTGCTGTATTAATGTCGTGTCGTGCTAAATGGTAGCCGGCTAAATAGCCACTGCATACTTGTCCTGCTATAAGTATCTCGTATCTACTGCTTTATTAACGCTTGGCATTGAAGTACGTAGTTTGACACGGTTATTTAGATTTAGATCTGCCATGTTTCTGACATTTATTTACTTGGCACTGTCCATTATACTTATTTGTATGTCTTTTGAAAATTTGCATCCTTTGCTATGAACTCTACATTGGCTATACCGCCATATGATATTACTTAATGAAATAATATATTCCACGACAGCCCACGAGATGATTGATGGTAGGACATGGGCGTTGGGATGTCGTCTTAAAAGTTACATAACTTTTTAATCCTTTAATACACTGTGATATTGCTACCAATAGGTATTTAATATGTAAACATTCGCTAATACAAAGAAACCAGATCGAGTGCCAGAAGTTCTAATCACACATGTTTAGATTATTTCAATTCGCAGAATTGAATTGTATTAAGTGGCTAAACGCGTCCGCACAAACCGCGGCCTCTGCCTGATAAGATAACCTTGCCTTTCAATTTACTTCGGCAAACGTACGTACACCAGCGCCTGCGCCGGTCTAGAAAAACAAGCAAATAATACGCGTATCAATCACCTTCAGGAAACCCTACGCGCTCATATTTCAATTTCCGTTACTTAATCTCTATTACTATCGAGAACTGAATATAAAGGGGGACTCTATGAGAGAGAGTCGTTATCGTAAGGCATTGTATGGAAGCGCTAAAGCCATCATTATTTCATGCTGTCGTGTAGAGTCGACCGTGCACCTACCTCGTGCTCAAAGGGATCGTCTGTGCGGGAAACCCGTTTCTGTTTATCTCCGCTGAACGACAGCCTCCTCTTGAACAACTTCATTTTGAGCCGTGG